CATAGAAGACATATATGATTTCTTAGGGATCGATGTCATCCTTTGGATCATCATCATCCATGTCTTCTTTTGTGTAATATTATGTATTTCAAGTCCTTCATCAAACAAAGTTACACTTAAAAAAGATACTCTTTGTACTCTGAAGTTTAGAAAACTTGTAAATAAAATTAGAGATTGTCACTGAAGCTGTCTATTTTAATTTGAACGCTTTATAAGAAAGAATTCAATTTAATATATATATATATTATCCAATTATAACATGTAATCAATGAAATAATTGCTAATTCTTATGCATAAACAAATTTATCACTTATTCTAATTATTTACTATGATATTTTAAAAAAAAAATGAAAAGAGTCCAAAAGATATTTAGAATTTTCTTAGAAAAACTAGCATTTCTTATACATGTAATTTTCAAGCATATATTAATAAAGTTTGCTTTGTTTTTAACTGTTTTTATGATTATTATTCAATATAAATGTTATCTGATAAACTATGACTTATATCTCATTCTAGTATGCTCTGGTGATATATTATTCTGACTCAGCAATTAAAAAAACAGTATTTTCTTGCAAGCTGTATTTTAAATATATGTAATAAAGTATTTTTGCCTATATTAGGCCTTTTTTCTTTTTTTAAACTGTGTATCTGTAAATGCAGTATGAGCGCTTATCAAATAAATAAAATAATATATATAATCATGAGAGATCTGCAAACTAATCTATATATATATAAATATAAAATTATCCTTTTTTTCTTTACTATTCGTTCAGAAAAAGTCATTTTTCCAAATTCTGTTAGACAAAGAAAAGAATTTCAAAACCTGATTAGTCGATCATCTCATGATTTATAAAAATTCACTAATACCTGAAATCATCTTAAAACTAGTAAGGATTTATGGAGTTCATGTGTAATACAAATTTTATAATTTAAACGTTCATGATAATCAAATCTAATTTAACTGAATAATGATATCAGAGGAAAAATTATGAATCTGTTTTCACCTGAACAATTGAATAAAAATAAATCTGATATTTATTAGAATATAATATTGCTAAATTAGCTAAAATTAATAAAAATACTATAAAATCAATAAATCGTTATAATCTATTATAATCTACTAAAATGTTAATATAGATTTAGATAGTAGAGCTTATTCTAAGCTATTAAAGTAAGCTATAGTGATATAAAGTTTAAAGAATATAAAAGAATAAGTAATGCAATAGGTCTTTTAGCAATAAGACATGATCATGAAATATCAGAAATGTAATGTTCTTGTATTTGTGATCTATTTAGAAAAATACTAAAAGAAAACTCAAGAATCTTTTCTAAGAATAAATATATTAGAATGTATAAAAAGTTATATGAAGAAGGTAAAGAGTCCTATCCTAGTAGAAGGAAAATAAATTATATATATTATAGTATATATGCTTTCTAGTATTTATACTTAAAGAATATGTAAATCTTTTTTGCAATCAAGATAATGACTTGAAGAGATGTATTTCTGAAAATACTATTTCAAATGAATATGCAAGAAGAAAAGAAATTTTTTAATCTATTAATACAAAAGAATTTATAATCTGGTAATATAAATAATATATATTATGAGAAAAGGCTGAAATAAAATGTTTTTAACTAGAGTTTAATCCCAAAGGACCGCTTTCATCCCAATCTCTTTTATATTTAGAGAAGAATAAATTGGCATCAGTATCATATGATTATTATATTCATTCAATTGGCTATAAAACTTATGCACAAGCTAAAGTAATTATAGAAAAAATATTACATCAGCTTATATTTTTAATACCAGACAAAAAATAGTTTTGTCAATTTCTTATTATATATTGAACTAAAAATTTAAAGCACTAAATAGGCTAACTCCTTCTCCATTATTATAAAAGTCTGTTATATTAATGCAATGTAGTGTAAATGCATCTGAAATTTTTAGCAAAACTAGTTTGAGTAATCTTGCTAAAGCATATTTCGATTCTGTACAAAAATATAAGAAAGAAGATAGATTTAATATCTTCTAACTAAATATTAATATTATTTATCTTAATAATATTTAACTAAAAGTGTGATACATAAATTATTCATAACATATTTTTTTTGCAAAATAAATAGCTATATAATCTATATAGATGATCATTTATAAAAAATTTGCTAAAGATGCTATGTATGATCTATCTATTCTGGATTAGATTTTCTAATTTATAACTATTTTAATATAATAATTTTTAAGAAGTTCAGAAAAATCAATGAAACGCTTTTAGGAATTCTTGATTGCAAGATAATATAACTATCAGTTTGAGAATTTATATGTAGTAGTTATTCAGTGAGCTTATAGAAATTATAAGAAAAAATCTGAATCTTTGGCAAAAAATGTTTGAGAGACAATCAGAAATAATGATACTTCTGACAATATAAAATTTTTAGATATAAAAATGAAGGATATCATTATTCAGAATAAATTTGCTATAAGAAATATTACTTTTTAGCAAAAAATAGTTAGATATATGAGAAAAAAGCCTAATTATGATAATGATTATCTTTTACAATATATATATTTATTAAGAAATTATTATATTAGCAAGGTTATATAATTATTAGAAATGCATTTTGGCTTGATATGTTAAAATAGTTACAGAATCCTGTATATTATAGTATTCATAAAAATTATAATTATATATTATTTCATCAAAATTTTAGAATACAAGACATATAAAAGTAAATTATCAAAAATTAAACCTATATGCAATTCACTATTAAAATATATATATCATATTTACAGAAAGGATATTACTATAAATTATATAGATTTAGATGATAATTATGAAATCATACGCTAAATTTTTTAGATTAGTTTTTGATCAAGATCCTGAATATTATTTATAGCTACAATGTATATAGGCGTATACAACAAAAATAAATATGTTTCTGATTCTTATTAAAGTATATATGATATAATAAGTGATATATAGCTGTAAATCGTATGATCTATTTGTGCGACAAATTAATTTTTACATATAAGAAATTGATTTCATATATCAGCAATATTTTTACATTTGCATTTTGAATTTTTTAACCTGTGAGTCAAATGAAAGTAATGTAATTGATATAGTAAATATAGTAAATTATGATAATTTCAGTCAGTACTATTCCATAAATTCAGCCAGATCTTTAAACATAATAACTCAGTATTCAAAGTTGACATAAAGGTAGTTTAAAATTGATAAACTAATAGAACTACTTTAGTTCTATTCTAGTTCCTCAACAATTTCATAACAATTCCATGATACCATCATAGTATCATCATATTGCTAAACTGGATTCTCAAATTGTATCTTTAAAAGATTAATCAGAATTATAATATAGTGTCAGCCAAAATTAAATCCAAATTTACTGCACTACTTGATGCGATATTTTTTTATTATATTTTGACATTTAGAAAGGCAACCAAATAGACATAAAGAGTAAGCACTTCAATATAGAATCCAACACCCAATTAGGTGTAGGAGGTCAGCATCTTCAATATAAAATTAGATATCTAAATAGCTACAGAAGGTTAACAACCTTATTATAAAATTTAGCGTGTAAATGACTTAAAAACAAGAAGAAAAGTGTGATATTTAAATTATATGTTGATAATTAGATTAAATAATAGGTAGTAATTAGATTATATAGTGGTAAAAAATGCAGATAGCAAGAGAGATTTAAAAGGATAACTAAAGTATAAAATAGATATCAGATACGCAAAAATAAATAGATTATATAATAATAATTAGATTATATTATTTAGATTATATGATGGTAATTAGATTATATTATTTGATTATATGGCGGTAATTAGATTATATTATTTAGATGTAATTAGATTATATAGTGATAATTAGATTATATAATGGTATTCAGATTATATGGTGGTAATATAATCTAGGGCAAGTGGGATACCACCACATAATATAATTATATTATATGATGGTATCCACTTATTACAACCTTTTTTACTTTTATGTAAAGAATAATTAGAAATATTTAAAAGATGTTTTTAACTTATTAAATATCTAAATATGAAAAAAATATGAAAGAAAGTGCAAGTGAGATACATATATTTCAGCTCAATTATTTTTTAACTGAATCAATTTCAATAAGTATATAGATTAAGAAAAGGTAAATCTATTTTAATTAACATTATTAATATATTAATAGTTTATTAATTAGATTACTTATTTAATCAGACCATCAACTTATACTAATCAATTCCAAAACCAATGTCAATAACTTTATTATTACTTTGCTTTTTCTTTGAACTAAATTATAATAATAATTAAACACAAATTACTAGAATATAAAAATACATTTTCCTTCAAATTTCCATAAAGTATTAGAAAACGCGCTGTTCATCAGATACAATTATTCTTTGCAATTATACATATGTATTTTGATGTGTTAGCAATGTTATATTAGGTCTAATAAAGAACACGAAAAGTCTTAAAACCAAAATTCATAAAAAATAAATTATTTACCCAAAAAAAAACAGTGAAGCACGCGTTTCTGGTTTTATTTCATATTTAAGAAAATGCTGTATTAATTTCAATTAACTTGTATACCATTAAAAATCGATTTCCTTTGAAAAAAGTAACCTTTACCTTTACCCAGTAGCCTTTTCAAATATACCAAGTTGTAAACCTTCTTTTTCTCTCCTCCTTTTTTCATTCCTTGCTTTATCTTTTAATTGTATACTATTTCTATTTTTTAAAGGGCCACCAGGTGGACCATAAAATAACAATATGGTCTCCCAATTAGTCCCATGTTCGTTCATTCCTTTCTCTAATGCATCTAATTCTTCTTGTGTCCATTTTATCCGTCGTGGCATTTTTTTGATATTTTAGAAGGTTGAATGTTGAAAAGTTAAATTTTAAAAAAGGTAGCAATTTATCATAAAATCGTAAACTCGTGAAAAATGGCTTATTTTATGTAGTCCCTATATTTCTAGAATTTAAAAATCGAGAAAACTTATATTTTGAAATATTTATATTTCACAAGCTTGATTTACGAATTACCTTATTAAAATTTCAAATGCGTAAATTTATTATTAAAATAATAATGAGAAAAAAATGCAAATAAATATAATTGCTAGCGAAAAAAGAAAAGAAATGTGGATGATGAAATATTTCCAAATAATACTAATCATAAAACCCTTTTTTTTTAAAGTTTTTCCGTAATACCTCCACCTTTTAATTCAATTACTACTTTTTTCTCTTCAATTTCTTTATTCACTATATTTCCTTCCTTTACTGATTCATTGGTTCCTTTAACCAGAATTTCCTTATTATCTTTGTCATTTAACTCACCCTCCTTCTCCTTGCCAGGATCTCTTTCGTTCTCATTTAATAATTCTTTATCAACAGACTTAATTTCGTTTAAATTAGTTTTTTCTTCGAATTCTTTTATCATTTGATCAACTTCTTCAGAAATTTCAGATTCAATTTTAATTTTATCTTCAAACTCTTTGACTAATTTATCAACTTCTTCTTTGGCTTTAGTTCTTGGTTCAACTTCAATTTTCTTTTCAACTCTAGCGGCGGTAGTGACAATTGATGCAGGAATAGTGCCATATTGTTTTATAAGTGATGCACGGCCTTCTTCATACATTTGTAGTAACGCTTCCTATAAAAGAAACATTTGAAAATCAAAATTTTATTAATAAACAAAAACATAATATTCTTACTTTCCATCCACATAATTCCGCTAATTTCATCACACCATCATCACAAGTTCCCCTATAAAAAGCATCTCTACGATATTTTTGATGTTCCCCATCAAAATCAAATCCCATATCTTGTAGTCCAAACTATAAAAAATCAATTTCAACTTATAATATTAGAAAGTTTCGGATAAAAATTTAAATATAAAATATAAATATGTATACAATTAATAAATAAAAAATTATTACTTACAACTCCGACTTTTTCAAGATTGATTAATAAACGGGGAGTCTTTGATCCAACGGCATCAAGCAAACTAGCAAAAGGTTGAACTTGCAAAGAAGTTCCAATAACAATAAGCAGATCACATCTAGTAAAATCCTAAATAATCAAAATAATTGGATTAATCTTTGATATAATCAAGACTATCCACAATATTTTTAACTTGAATGTATGCTTACATTAATCCTTTGAAAAAAATTGGCAGGTAAAGATTCACCAAAGAAAGTGATGCAAGGTTTAACAATACCAACTTTACATGAATCACATTTAGGTACTTCGCCTTTATAAACTATATCTTTCATCCATTTAGCATCAGCTAACTTATTACATTTTAAACATTTTGATTTAGCAAAAGACCCATGAGCTTCTACGATCATATCATCTGATAATCCTGCAAGTCTTTCTAATGTATCAATATTTTGTGTGAAACAACGTCGTAAAATTTTTTTACGATGTAAAAGTGCTATGAAATAATGTGTCAAGGTAGGCTAAGAAAAAAAGAAAGATTTTTTGTTGTACTGTTATAAGCTTAAATAGATAATCTTTTTAGGTTATTTTAGAAATTAAAAATAATTACCAAGAATTTTCCAGGATACAATTCTTTTGCCAATGCGAAAAATGGTTCTGGATTCTCCTATTAATAATATTAAATTAAATACTTTCTAATTATAATTCAAAATAGTTCAAAACTTAATATTTACTTTGAAAAAGCTGATATCAAAAATAGCTTCTGGATAGGGTAAATCATATTTTTGAAGATTATCATAAAGACCAGTACCAGGTGAACGAAAGTCTGGTATACCAGCAGCTGTGGAAATACCAGCACCAGCCATTACAACAATTTGTCTCGCTAAAATATTTTATTTAATACAAATTGATTAATCTATTATCCGATAAAATTTCAATTAGCCGGTTATATAAACAAAATACCTTTTTCGGTTTTAATAAGATGAGCAACAGACTCAATGGTAAGAGGTTCTAATATTTTAGGTTCACCCTTAAATAATAACTTTGAAAGTTGGTGACTATTAAATAATAAACGAATTATATTTCGAGTCCAGCAGGATAAAACAAACCTTGGTTTTACCATCCCTCTTAGATTTCCCACTAACAGATTCGGCTGGTTGATTCTTCGACATAATAACATCAATATAGAAAATCTGTATCATTATCACATAATAACGATTTAGATTTTATCAATAAATAATATTTCATTCTGAAAAACGATCTATTCTTATTTACATAAAAAATATATTACATACCTAAATAATGAGTTTCTAAGTTTCTATAATGTTCGAATCATGCGTGCACGGACTACATAGGTTGCTTAGTCGATCATTGCAGATGCATATCATTTCTAAAAATAGATCATACAATCATTTTGAAACTAAAAACAAGCTGATTTGAATTTTAAAAAAGTATATAATATAAATAAATAATTAAATAATTGAAAAAAAAAAATATAGATTTAAATTTACATGAGAAGATGCTAAAAAATCAGATTCTAAATTTTATTATTAATAATTTAAAATTTCTTTTTAATTATTAAGTTTATATATATAATAATTTTTGTAATTTAAAATTTATTAATAATAAAAAATTAATGAAATAAATAAATTAGTTATCAAATAAAAAAGTAAAAAATAAAAATAGTGAATAAAAAAATAATATTTTAAAATACTTATACTTTTTATAATTAATTTTTAATTTTATTATATCATTAGAAATTTTTATAAATTTTATTAAATAATTAATATTTAATATATTTTAGTTATCTAAATTAGCATAATATAATGATATTATTTAACTTAAATAATTTAAAATAAATTATAATTATAATTTTACATTGTAATTATGATTTTATAATCTAATTATAATTTATAACCTTAATATATTAAAATATTCTAATTATTTCTTTCATAATTTAACTATAATTTTATAATTTTATAACTTTAATATATCAGATATAATTTGATTATAACTTTACAATTTAAATTTAATTTTATTATTTTAATATGATAAATATATCTAAATATATCTTTATAACTTTACTATATCGATATGATTTAAATATAACTTATAAAAGGATTTTTATTTTTGGAAAATTCATTAGATTCTAATGATAAAAGATTTTCACTTGCAATTTCTAATATAATCAATGATTCAACATTTTAACTTGATTTAAAAGAATTAGAAGAACTTCTTTTACTATTTTGTATTGTATTAAATAAATTACAAAAGGAATCTGCTCAATTATATGATATTATGCATACATATATATAGATGTTAAGTACATACAAAAGAAGTCTGATTCTCCATTTTGATCTTATATGTTAATGTAACTTAAAAAATAATAAAATCAATAGAAACAACCATTACTTATTTTATCATGACTTTTACATCCATCTTATGATCTTAAAAAACTTAATATTTGATTATCTAGTTTATTTACACTAAACCTTATAAAATGACTCGTTTATTATTATACTAATTGGTTTGATATAAAACTAACAAATATTTTATTGAATTTTAAAAGATTATCTTTCAAAAAATTTTCTATTTGATTTAGTTTCATTTGATCAATTTAATGGTGATATTCTTAAATATTGATAATTTATTGTACGTAGTATTCATAATAAACTTGCAAATATAGTATTAAGATTATTTGGAATTTGTATTAATAGTATTTCTTTTGAAAAATTATTCTCAACAATGGGATTTTTTCATTCAAAAAGACGTAATAAATTAAGAGTAAGTAATATATTTTATTTTATATAAAAATTAATATAATAAGATATTAATATTTAATTTTTATATATTTTAGTATCAAAAGGTTCTTTTAATGAGTCAATTATATGAAGAAATTTTAAGACAACAAAAAAATAATGCTATTAAACAAAATATTAATATTGTTGTATCAACTCAAAGTAATTCTGAAGAAGAAATTAATAATATATCTAATTTAGAAATAGATCCTATTGAATTAATAAATCAGTAAAATATAATTATTGGAGATTAGTTTATTCTTTTAGATAATAAAGAATTTGAAAGTGAAGAAATTGAAATTACTAATTATCCAGCAACTAATCAAGATACAAAGTAGCTTCTTTTACAGATTTTTTCAGAAGGATTAGAATTTCTAACATTTTATAATTTATTAATAAATGAATTATAATATTATTATCAATAAATAAATATAAATAAAATTTAGTTTTAAATTCTTTATTAAATAATAAAATATTATTTGAATTAAAATTAAAAAAAAGCCATTTTTATTTATTATTATAAAATTATATATAATTATATATCATAAAAAGGTCATAAAAAAATAAAAAATAATAACTTTTTATGATTAAATAATCAGTCATATGACCAGTAGTCATAAATTATAAAAACTAAAATGCCAACACTGCCTGTAATAAATAAGTGCTATATTATTTACAAGGGTCATTCCCGATAACAGGATATAATAAGTCAATGATAAATACAGTGTAACTTAAATTAAACAAAGTCGTGAGTTACAGGTGGCTTTTAGTTAAAGCGCTGTAGTGTCTATAAATCAATTAAAGTTTTGAGGCCTGAGTTTAATTCTAGGGTGATTTTAATAGTCTGGCGTATTAACTGTCAGATAGCTATTCTGAATTAGGTTAGTAAAGACTCCTCTTTCTAGTAATTGATTAGAATTCTTCATACTGATAGCATCAAGAATTAGCAATGTGATGTTCACAGTATATAGTTTCTAGTATTTCAGTGGTTCAGACTGGCTTGAAAAATTGCAAGAAGGGACTTGATTCTAGGTATAAAGATATATAAGACTAATTATGCCCAATAGTTAGGATACTCAGGTGACTGATCACTAAAACTAATTAAAAAAAATTTTGATTTA